GGCTGGGGAGAGGGAGGTCTGGGCCTCTTTGCTTAGGCTGCTGCCCCCGCGACCCGGCCTCGGATAAAGCGGATGAAGATGGATGGATGGATGGGAAAGGAGACTCCTTGGACATAAAGCACCATCCTGAGAACTATTGATAACAAAAGAAAGAATCTTTGGGAAAAAAAATTATCTGAGGAGAATTAATTTATTTTAGTCTGACCCCAGTCCCATCCACTAACATGGAGGAGGCAGGGTTTATGACCTATACTGCAGCCAGACACTAGGGAGCAATAGAGACGTTTTGGCTTCATTTTTGGGGAGCTGTCGCATCGTCCATGTTTTCTACATTCCTTGCTCAGGACTCACACCCCCCCTCCCTTCCTGTTATAAAGCATAGCAGGAACGAATCTCGTCCCCTCCCTACTGGCTCACAGGTTCTTCTTCTTGGTTGGCAACCAATGTTAAGGCGCTTTACCGCCCCCTGGCTCACAGCTCAGTGGACATATATAAAAAAAATAAAATATAAAACAGTTGTTTTTCTTTTGCAGTCACTCATCTTAGTAGTAGGATATACATGAAAAGAGAAACAAATTAAGTTTGAGTGAAAATGTACATTTTTTGCACTCTCTGGGCAACTGACTCAGTGACTCAAATGACTCAAAAAACACGATTCACTTTGGTGAGTGACTCATTCAAACTATATTCAGTCAAAAGAATCAAACTTACCATCACTAATCAATTGCCCATCTTTACTTTAGGGGAACTCTGCCTCTTTACTGTGAGCTTTTTATACCCAACCATGTTACTGAGCTGTTACTCAACTAGTTACAAAATAACTAGTAACAAAATGTTCTACAGCTGTTTCTTTTTAGTAACACTTAGTTTTACAGCAACTTCCAGTCCAACGTTTTTTTAAATAGTTATTGTTCATGAAACAGTACAAGGACTCAGTTTAAACATTTGATATGTTTTTTATACCCTGAATGTTAATACTCTGCACAGGAGGTGAAGCAGAGTACAGCCTGTTGCCTTTACAGTATAACACTTGTAATAAAAGTACAGTAACAGTTAATACATTATGGGTTCATTCAGTGATTTAAAATTATTAAGTTCTGTTTTCATTTACAGTTTTCACAGCTTTTTGGAACTGGATTGTATTTTAGTTAAATCGTTTTTGCTCAAATGAGATTTAGATGAAGATCCGATCACATTTTAAGGAGTTATTTACTTGTTCTTGCAACCATATTCCGAATTTGACTAAAAATGCTCTAAAATACAAGAATAATTATATTTCTTAATGAAGTAAAATTGAACACGTGTTCTTGTCGTACACTGATCTGTCTAGAGTAGGTTGTTTGGTAATCCAGTGTTTGCAGTGGAGGGGCATTGGTCCATTTTAGCTGAAGATTAACCACTGATATTGATTTCATTGTATCTAGATCACATATTATTTACCTGTAGAATGAACATTCTGCTATCTTTTTTCATTAACAAACACAAACAGGATTTATAATTTTAGATGACTTTCATTATTCAACTAAAACCTATTGCAGAAAACTAAAAAGGAAGTATTGCTGAGTGAATTAAAAATTAAAGGATAATTTAAAAAATGAGAGATAATTTTAGCAATATTGTTTGATTATGAAACTATAATAAATGTGTCACAAATGTCTTTGTTCCTCAGTTTGCAAACACATGAAGAATTACTTGGTACTGATGCTTCATTTAGACTGGGTTATCTAGTTAAGTGTGAACGACCTGCCTTCAGAAAGTGATTAGTTTTGCTCCTGACAACTCGTTATTAATATTAACTTAATAAAAACATATAGATTAACTCAAACTACTAAAGACTAAACCAAAAATAAAAGTAAACATTCTCAATAATGAAAACTAAACTGCAATGAGCAAATAAACTCTGTGAACTAACTGAATTAAACTGAATTAAAATTGTTATTGCTCTAATTCAAAGCTTAAGTAATGCTATGCTTAAAACAAAGAGCATAATTGGAATACAAAAGAAGACACAAACCCTCACATGATATCTAAAGAAGTCAGAGTTTAGGGGTAGTTTTTTTAAACATTATGTGATTGGCAGAAGGCTGATCATTCCATCCAAGAACAGATAAACCTTCAAAGTTCTCTCTCCACTCTCTAATTGATGTGGTTTAATAATTAAATAAAACTGGAAATTAATTGCAGCTAAAAAAAAATTAACAATATGCAACATAATTGAGAATGAAATGCTGTGCTTTTCTTTGTGATGCAATGATTTTGCTTGTGCTCATAAACAAGGATTTTGACCAGCAGCTCTTATGCTGTCCTTGTTGGGACAATGATTAACAAGTAATTGAATTGCCCTATTTTCCCCCCCCCGACATGCTAAAAGAAGCCCAATAATATACCACAAGGTGTCTCTTTGAGTTAGTCGATGATGAACTGCTAGTTTTTGGGTCTCACCATGGGCCTGTACACAGCAGCTTTCCTCCTGGGAGCCTTGATCTCCACTGGTAAGTAGTACAACTACTATAGGGCATGTAAAGATGATTTTTCTTGTTATTTGTTTAGCTCTGTTTTCTTACATTTAAAAGATAAACAAGGGTTTGAGGTCTAAACCCTTACAGCACAGGACAATGACTGACTAGCACTTTTTCCTCTTTCAGATGACGAAGAATAAAAATAACTCAGCCAAAGTAGAAAAATATATCCTCATTAGTTAAAGCAGGTCTAATCCAAATTAATACAGAATTTGTTTAAATGTGGGTTTTTGGAATAAGATCAGGCAGTGCAATGAAGTTTTTGTTTTTTACATTTACATTTTGGTTTACATTTAGTTTAAATAATGGAAAACTTGTTGGTCTAAACAGGTCGTGACAGACCACATCAGCACATTCAAAGCTATACTGTTGTTCAAGACTTGAATAATTAATTGAATTTGATAAATGTAAGTTTACATTAAAGTAATTGCAGGTAATTCTGTGTAATTTAGTTTATAAAGACTCAAAAAGTTGTGTAATTAGTGTCAAGGATGACTTTGTAATAATTTTGTAGCCTGTACACTGGTTCCTTTTAGTCAGATGACGTAAAATGGATTGTTTGGCTACACGATTTCCCGATAAACCCTCTAATCAGCAACCTTGACTGACTGACTGGACAAAACCGGCTTATTGACAATGAATATATACTCTCTTTTAAAATATAACATTTGGGTACATAACAAAAAGGACAGTTAGTCATGTTAGATCATTGTTTAGTATTAATATTATTTAGCTGCTGCAAAGGGTGGAAAAAAACCCCAAAACCTTTATCTAAAATTAAGTCTGACAGCATTTGTATTTTGCTGTTATGAGAACTGCTAGATTTGTAATGAAATGTATCTAATAGCAACAGACGATAAGTCCAATAGCACTCTTGATGTGGGAGTCTAAAGGTGACTTGCACTTTGGGTTTTATATTGATCTAACAAATAAGAAATGTTGAGCTTTCGAGATGCTGGTTTTGTTCTCTTCCACCCTTATGTTTCCTTGTGTTATTGCTAATTTCCCAAATTTAGCAGATTTCCTAAAATGTGTTCCTAAGTGTACTGCATTCATTTCTATGTTAGTTTAATGAGTTAATAGGCAAAGATTTAATTTATGTGTCCAACAGAATGATTATATTTTTTCCTTTTACTCCTTTATACATGTAAGTCTAGCTAACATTTCTATGACTCCAGAGTCCACTGCCTACAGCCTATGACAGTGAAAAAGCTTAAATCCCAAAGACCTGACTGAATAATAACTGAATACACAAAAAGGTTTTTTAAAATATATTATTTTGTTGTATCTTAATAATAATAATAGTTGTTGTTATTATTAGCTTACATGTGCAACTTAAAACACTGTTTTAAGTTCACATCATCATCACAGACGGTGTTGTAGCAATCACAATAATTCACTCTTTTTAGGGTTAAAAGCAGTATTATACTGGGGACTATAACTAGCACACACTCTAAGTCCCTGCTTCAAACCTGTCACGATCTGGTTACAAGGACTCAAACGCAGAGCGGTTAGATGTCTCCAAGGTGTAGTTTATTTACAGTGCCAGTGCAATATATGTACAGTGAAGGGATCCAAAACTCCGGGGAATCACAGGGTAGCTCTCTCACACTCGCTCACGTCTTCTTTGCTCACACTTACACACGTTCACACGGCAGGGAGGTCGCAGGTCCGGGGGGGGAAGATCTGAGGCAGAAGAGAAGGAAAGTCACCAACTAATCACAAATCACGAATTATGAATTATGAAGCACAAGTCCACAGGAGCTGTGAGAACACTAACGTCAGTAGTACAATCATCCAGCGACGAGAGGATCTGTGTTCCAGCCTCAAATAGTGCTCCCGGTGATGACAGGTGATTGTTGTCAGGTGTGTGTGCCAAGGGCAGGAGCCCACAGTGAGCTCCGCCCAGGCAGAGAGGGAGAGAACAGAAACAGCAAATGTAGCCTTGTGGGGCCGACCGGGCAGGCACGAAGACTATGACAAAACCAGCACTGTAGGGAAACAAAATGGGCCAAATCATCAGTATACATTAAATGATTAATAAGAAGGTTACCCACCATACATGCAGTCTTACATTCATTTTACACAACAGAAAGATCATCAAGATACAAATTGAATATAATATAATAGATAGATTCTTTTGTTTTATATTTTAAAAAACGAAATGTGAAGTCAAGTTTTACTCATCTTTGAGCCACACAACAAAGAAAACATTGATAAATGATGTAACTGATTTTTTGGGGGGGGGTTTTGGATGTGATTGATTGCAGTTGGTGGCAATGATGTGGAAGGCTACTCCAAAACTGAAGGTGCATGGATTATCTCACTGAATAAACGAGCGTATTCAGTTAACACTGTGGCTGAGTGTGCCACCAAATGTGACACCGAAACATCTTTCACATGCAAGTAAGTTCACATCTCATTTCGTTCTGTGGATCAAAATGCTGCACATATATAGAATGTTATGTATATGCAAATACATTTTTTTTTCCAGTTTTAGCTCCTACTCCTGCCATTATCCATAGGGCCGCATTTTACCCTCCACATCTGCTCCAGTTGTTCCTTTAGCTCCTGGTGGTTTTCAGTTTTCTTGTGCTTCTTCTTCCTGATGTTGCTCTGCACTGGTATTGCCACATCTATCACAACTGTTCCTCATCATCATCTATCTTCAGCTGTATTTGTGGATGCTCCATGATTCAGGTTGTGGCTCTGAAACTCATTGATCCTTACACTCTTTCCACTGCTTGTAGAACCTGAAGGTGCCTCACAATGCAAGGTGGACACCCCCATGCACTGCGTGGAGTTTTTGTTTCTCGACATCAGCTGCATCTATTGCCTTGTGTGGCCAGTGTATTTTTCACACTGGGGATCTGATGACCAGTAAGCCGTATGTGTTTTTGACTGGGATCTTATTCCTACCATTATGCCTTGTACAGTGCAGGCACTCTAATATGGTTGTGTGAAGAATTGAGTTTGTAGGTTGTCAATCCAGGCGGCGTTCAGGGTGGTCTGCGTAGTTGTAAAGTCCTGTGTTGCAGCTCTATAGACCAGGAGCTGATGCTTCTGCTGTCTGTTGTATTTCCAATGCCTTTCTGAGCTATTCTTGTGTATTGACTCATGTTTCTACTCAGTTTAGTTGCTATGATGCTTGAGAGGAGCTTCCGTATGTCTGTGGAAGGTTGCTGTGGTCTGGTGTTACTGTAGGTCCACCAGCCACTTGGCATTGGTGTGGTGTGGCACCTCTTTCTCACAGATGTTTTTTCAGTATTGTTCAGTTTCAACTCTGGGTGGGTCTGGCCCATGTTGTTATTCTCTTGTAGTTGGGAGTACGTCCTGGATTGGCTTCTTTTTTTTCTCCACTGGAGACTTCCTCTACTTGCATCCTTGATCTTTTATGCAGGTGCTTCTAAGATTACTGTGGCAGTGTATATGAGCTTATCATCCCCATAATCAGTGATGCTGATGGTGGGGATGGGGTATAAAGCAATGTCATAACATCACATCTGCAAGCATCTCCTCTGATGGGACTGTTAACCAGGAGACTCGTGCTTTTGCTTGGGTGGCTACCTTGGCTACATATTTTCTCATTTCAGTAGATGCATCTGCCGTTGCAGGTGGCTGGGCAACATTTAGTTTGGATTCACTGCTCTCTTCTACGAGGGTTGGCTCAATATTTCCATACTGCTCACTGCTTTTCCCATTGTACTGTAGACTCTGGATCTCAAGCTTTGATAACAGCTTCTCTTGTAGTAATATAGCTTTAATAGCATGGTATTAATAGCTTTCTATTAATACCATGTTATCAATCCTTGTCCATGTATGTTCCAGTGGCCACCTCAACTCCTAATGTGTACTTAACTTAGATTTGTATAGCAACTTGCAAGAAATCAAACAACACCTCATTTTTTCCCTCACAGGTCTTTTGTCTATAATGAAAAGGACCAAGAGTGTTTGACAACAGCAGCAAACTCTAAAACAGACAGTGTCTTTCGCAGAAGCAGCACAGCTTTATATGAAAAAAATGGTAATGATCCAAATGTTTCTCTATGACTAAAACTAACACTAAAGCTTCTGTTTTCATGTTGTCCTTTCTGTCAGCTACAGTGACTAGTCTATTCTAGTTTACATGTTTTTTGTTTCCAATGCTTTTTGTTGACATTGTAGTTAATGTTATAAACACAGTAGAGGACTGAAAGTTAAACACTGCTGTAATTTAATTTAGTTTCATAAAACATCACAGAACTCAGATCAGATACATTTTTTACTATAGATAATGCGTGATAAACATCAATAAATCTATTTCTAGTCTTTTCTTTTCTTTTCTTTTCTAGCATATCTTCTGGAGTGTGTAAATGGAATAGGAAGAGATTACAGAGGAACAAAGTCCAGAACAAACTCAGGAAAGATCTGTCAAAGATGGGACTCAAACTACCCACACAGGCCAAAGTGTGTGTTTGCGTTTGATTTTGCATCATCATTTCATATCCTTTTATGCCTTTGTTAAAACGTTTCATAATGTTTCTGCTGCAGTTTCATGCCGCAGAGCAACCCACTAGCAGATCTGGACTCCAATTTCTGCAGAAACCCTGATGGGGACAGCAATGGACCGTGGTGTTACACTACTGATGCTAACACCCGCTGGGAGCACTGCAACGTACCCAGCTGCTCTGGTAAGATTAATAAATCTCTGTGTTTGTTTTGTTTTGTTTTATTTCGCCAACATACATGTCTAATTGTTCTCTAGCAGCCATTTCTCTTTCAACAATCGCCATTTGGTTTTTAAATTATCTAATGTAGCTAATATCTGCAATCTAGGCACTACACAATGTTCTGAAATACTGATATGCAATATAGAAGAACGGTAATTATCATGCTATGATATTTCAGATAAATCAGTGTTTTTCCTTCACAGAGGAATGTATGGTCTGCAATGGTGAGAATTACAGAGGAAAAATCTCCACCACTGAAAATGGCTTCACCTGCCAACGCTGGGACTCCCAGAAACCTCACAACCATGGCTACAATCCTAGCACGTAAGACAACATGAGCAACACTTCAGTGAGCTTGTTGTGGACATTGAAAACATTTTCCAGAAGCTACGCTAAAGCTTAAATACTTCTATTTATGCTTTGTTGAGTCTTCCACTAAAGTATCTGGAGGAGAACTACTGCAGAAACCCAGATGGAGATCCCCGACCATGGTGCTTCACCACTAGCTCATCCAAACGGTGGGACTTCTGCTCCATACCGCGCTGCAGTAAGTCCTCACGTTTAATGAGGATAATAATTTCACAATATTGGAAAATTTGGTGCACCACTGATGTTTGTTGCCAGACCCCACAGGTCTCTATTGCATTGACATTTGATAGCTGTTGAGGCCATTTATGTAGCTAACTCCTTATTAGCTTTAAGAAACCAGTCTGTAATTATTTGAGCTTTGTAACATGGTGTGTTATCTTGCTGGAAGCAACCATGATAAGAAGTGTACACTGTGATCATAAGGAGATCGACATGTTCAGAAAAAAAAAAGTTTGATCATTAGTTTGAACTTCAGTAGGTCACACTGATCATATCTGTATGCTTAAATGCTTTGTGTTACTGCCATGTGATTGACAAATTATTTCTCTTAACAATCAACATAATGCACTGCGTACCCTGTTGTATACCTAGGGGACTGCCTGTTTAATCCCATTTCCTGTACAGAACCAATCAAAACTGGCTCAATATTAATTTCATATTCGTTTCATTTATTTCAGAAAATCAATTTAAATACAACTGAAATTTCCACCATTTAATAGGGGTTTCCTTCTTTGATGTAAACATCAAATGCACCTGCAGTTTCTAGACAACAATGTAAACAAAGCATTCAGAAATCCATGTTGAAGCAACATCACCCACTGCAAGAACCCACCAGCTTTAAAAGTACAAGTCAGTGGAAATATAACAGAAAAAGAATTTAAATATGTAAAAACAATAAACAGTTTTTATAGCATCTTTCAGAATCGAGTTTAAAACATGCTTTTTACAGATAATAAAGAGAGTGCAGATGTTTGACATCTTTTTTTATGACTTCTCTATACAATCCATCTTGTCTTCTTTTCTCAGCTACTGAACCTCCCACCATCATCCCAGAGGTGGACTGTGTCACCAATGAAGGTTTAGCATACCGAGGAACAATTGCTGTTACGGAGACTGGCAAAACGTGCCAGAGCTGGTCGGCTCAGACGCCACAAATACACAACCGAACTCCACAAAACTATCCCTGCAAGTAAGAGCTAAACCTGAAACCAGTGTCAGCCTTTAGTGATTTAATATGGTAAACAAAATATTAGTGGCACAGTTCAACTTTTTCATTAATAGCTTTTAGATCTATTGTAGAACTTCATGATCCACATGATAAAGGTAGAAAATGAGAGAGAAGAGGGCAGTAAGTGAATAAGGAAGTGCAGAGAAATAGAAACAAAGAAATGAAGGCAGCTATGAAAGAGGATAAAGAGTGGAAAGGCATTTAGTCCAGATATCTATTGAGGTATGGAGAGGCCTAGGGTGAGAAGGCAGATTAGTTTTTAACCAGATTGTTTAACTCAAATGATCGAGAGTAAAATGATGCCTGAGGAATGGAGAAGATGTTTACTGGTACTAATTTTTAAGAACAAGGACTATGGGCAGCGCTGTAGCAGCTGGAGTGGTGCAAGGTTGATCAGCCATTTCATGAAGCTATGGGAAAGTGCTAGGTTAAGAAAAGAGAGTCGAGGATCAGTCAGCAGCAGTATGGCTTCATGCTGTGAAAGAGCACTGTAAATGGGATGTTGCTACAGAAAGCATGCTGCTGAGAGAGGAACAGTCATCCTGTATATCAAATACTCAGCACTCAGCACAATACTCAGAACTGTGGAGTATGACCACTGTGCTTGTACTAAAAAGAAAAAAAAGAAGAATGTCTATTGTTGACTCTTACTCAATAACCTGTTTTTGGTTTAAGGACCCTGGTAAAAGTATCACATGAAATCTGAAAGATGATCACGCATTTTTGTGTTTTTCTGTGTTTATCTTTGTCAGAGGTCTAGACAATAACTACTGTCGCAACCCTGACAATGAAAGGAGGCCCTGGTGCTACACAACTGACCCTGACACTCGCTGGGAGTACTGCAATGTGACACGGTGTGGGAATGAAGCTGCACCAGGTATAATATTAGTCAACTTATTCCTTCTTTTAAAGTCAGCTTCATCTTCTCAAAATGTAGCCAGGAATGTTCTTCCTTTCTTTACCTTTTGCTGCAGATGATCCAGTGATCCCCCCAGATGCAGAAAACTGCTATGAAGGGAATGGTTTCAGTTATCGGGGCATAACATCAGAGACCATCAGTGGGAAAAAATGTCAGAGATGGAGCTCCATGACTCCTCACAGACATGAAAAAACTCCAGAGGCCTTCCCAAATGCGTAAGGATCAAATACATTTTATACACAGCAGAATTCTATACATGCAGAAGAGCGTCCTAACATTTTTGAGAAGCCTACTGCATAATGACAAAACAATCCACAATTTGTCTAGAGATTAATTATTGTACTTTACTTGGACTTTTGGGAGAGGAATGCTAAGGATTCTAGCTACTCAATAGCCCTGGGTCTTCTTTGGCAAAGTCTTCATTTCTTGATGCACAAAATGTTGGTGAAATCTTATGAGGTGCCGTAAGGGACATTATTACTGAAACGCTCTCACACACACTACTGAAACGCTCTCACACACACTACTGAAATTTTAGCTCTCACACACACTACTGAAACGCTCTCACA